TTTTTTTAATGCTTATTTTTGAGAAAGAGAGAAGGAGAGGAAGAGAGAGAGCCAGAGCATATGCATGCATGCAAGTGGGGAGAGGGGCAGAGAGAGAGATGGGGAGAGAATCCCAAAACCACATTGTCAACAGGATCCTGAGGTGAGGCTTGAACTCATGAACCATGAGATCATGACCTGAGCTGAAAAGCAAGTTTGGTCTTAACCAACTGAGCCACCAGCACCCTGAAGAGATCTAGTCTTTTTTTGAGTGATGTTCCATGGGCACCTGGAAGTACTGTTGATGAGTGTTTTTATGTATGATGATTAGATCCTGCTGTTGTATTTTTTCAGATCTGTATCCTTGCAGCTTTCCTCCTCTAAAGCTCCTTTCAGTCTGGAGTGGCTTTTTAAAGTCAGTCCTCAACAGGAATTATTGAGTTTGTCTGTTTCTCCTTTGGCTCTATCAATTTTGCTTTTTTGTGTATTTTTTAGTGCTGTTGGCTGCCTTACACATTTAGGATTGTTGGCCTTCCCTGGTGCTTTGGTTCCTTTATCATTATCTTTGACGTCCCTCTTTGGTCATTTCTTTTACTCTAAATTGACTTCATCTGTTATTAATATGGCATTAAAAATTAATCTTGCATGTACATCTTTTTCCATGTCAGTTTTACTTTCCAGCCTATTTATTGTCTTTATATTTAGGCCGTTTCTTATGGATGTAGCACACATTGATGGGTCATAATTTTCATCCACTCTGCAATTTCTGCCTTTTGTTGGTATATTTAGCACATATACATTTAAACTATTAATTGGTGTCGGAGACATGTTTGGGCTTAAGTTTGCCATTTTATTATTTGTCTTTTGTTTTGCTACTTCTGTTTTGTTTTCTTTGTTTTTTGTAATTTCCTGTGGGATATTAAGACCTTTAGGGTTCTATTTTGCTCTTTTTTTTAATGTTTATTCATTTTTGAGGGGAGAGAAATAAGCATGGGAGGGGGTAGAAGGGAGGAGACACAGAATCCAAAGCAAGCTCAGGCTCTGAGCTGTCAGCACAGAGCCTGAGTAGGAAACTTGAACTCAAGAACCATGAGATCATGACCTGAGCGAGAAGTCAGGCAGCTTAACAATTGAACCACCCAGGCACCCTTGTTCCCCTATTTGTAGTGTTTCTGGGTATATTGCTGTCTAATTTTCTTAGTGGTTGCTCGTGTTACAGTATACATATATGTAACTTAGAATCGTCTAGTCATGTTGACATTTACCACTTTGAGAGGTAATTCCATGTAGCTCCTTTACTCTTATCTTTTAAGTTTGTCTCAGTTTTCCCCATGTACTGAACACCACATTATGTGGTGTTATACTTCACTTCAGCCATCAAATATGATTTCCTCATAAGTAGGATAGTCTTATATTTACCTTTTTTATTTCATTATGACATTTTTTCCTTTATGAAGTTCAAAACCTTCTTCTGTTTTCATTTCTTTGTTTGTGTTTGTTTGTTTAGCCAGTTTTCTTTTTTCTTGTTTTTTCTTTTTATTTATTTATTGTTATTTATTCATTATTTTTGAGAAAGCAGCACAGTGGAGGGAGCAGAGAGAGAGAGAGGGAGAGAATCCCAAGCAGGCTCTGCATTGACGACATAGAGCTGATGTGGAATGGAACTCTGAAGCTATTGAGATCATACCTGAGCTGAAGTTGGATGCTCAATGATAGAACCACTTAGCAGGTTGCTAGTTTGAATTTTCAAGAGTAGGTTCCAGCGACAAAAAAATCTTGCAGGGGAATATCTTTATTTTCCTTTCATTTCTGAAGGACATTTTCACCAGATAAGTTGTGGTTAACAAGTTTTGTTGTTTTTTTTTTCTTTCTGTACTTGAAAAAATGTTGTGACACTTCCTTTTAGCCTCCATGGTTTAAGATGAGAAATCTGCTGTCATTCGAATTGGTATTACCTTTTTAAGTAATGTGCTGTTTTGGCTACCTTCAAGATTTTTTTCTTTCTTTATCTTTAGTTTCAGAAATTTAAGTATTAGGTGTCTTAGTGCACATTTCTTTGTATTATTCACTTTTGGGGTTTGCTCAGCATCTTGAATCTGCTGGGTTTATATCATTTGCCAAATTTGGGAAGTTTTTAAGTCTTTATTTTCAGAATACTTTTTCCAGTCCCATACTGTCTTTTCCTCTCTAATCTATCATACTCAATATTGATACAAATGTTGCCACTTTTAATTATTGTCCCTTTGGGTTCTTTAGATTTTTTTTTTTTAATTTTGTGTCTCTTTTCTCTTTACTGTTCTGAAAATTCTATTGACCTACTCTGAAGTTTGATTCTATCCTTAATTGTCTTCACTCTACTATTAAACCCCTCACACGTGAGCTTTTTATTTCCTTTATTTTAGTTTACAATTCCTATAGTTCCATTCAATTGCTTTTTGTAACTTCAGTTTCCTTGCTGAGATTTTCTCTTTTCTTTTTGTTTCTAGAAAATTCATAATTGTTTGGAGCATTTTTTAGATGGTTGCTTTACAATTCTTTTCAGAGAGGCCAACTTGACACCTCTCACTGTCATGTCGGTGCCTGTGGTTCTGTGTCTTTTCTCTCTTGAGTTGTGATTTTTCTAGTTCTTGGTAGGACAGACCATTTTTTTCGGTTATCCTGGACATTATGTCTATCATGTTAGGAGAGTCCAGATACCTATTTTTAATTTTTTTCAATCAGGTAATCCTTTTGTTGGGGTGTAATGCAGGGGGGTTGGGTATTGTTTGTATCTTCAGCTTCCTACTAGACCACCCACACCACCCCAGTGAAAGTGGGGTGCTGACTCACTCTACTGCCTCCAATGCGCATGGTGGTGTGGAAGTTCAGCTACCCCCTCAGCCTGTGACTCATTCCCCAAGAAGGTGGGACACTGGGTCCCACATCACTTCATTACCTCAATGGTCAGCTGGGTCCCAAAATAAGGAGGAAGTGGGGGACTAACCATGATTGCTGCAGAATTGTGGAGACAAATTTCACCTTCCTTTGGGTGTCACTGACACAAAAAGGGGAGTGAGGAAGCAGGATATCAACACTATTCTGTGTCTTCCAATTTCATTCAGCCTCTTGATGCTGGCTTGGTATGGAAAGCTTGTAGTTCCCTACTGGGCTCACTGACACGGAGGCTCTGGGGGAGCAGGGGGGCGAGTGCAGGCCCAGCATTACTTTGTTCATTCTCAGTGGGGATGCCAGGTGAATAATAGAGTTTAGCCCCATTGAGTCTCACTGACACTAGTGACAAGTGGGGGAACCTAATGGTAACTAACCCTGTCTTTATTATGTCTTGATTGCTGCTGGGTGGTATTTAGATTCCAGCTTGTCGCGGCCTTGGCTGACGGCTTAGGCCCTGGTGAGGAAGGGAATAGAACACTACCTGCCTCTGGCGAGCAGAGGAGTGATGATTACACTACTCTGCTTAGCCCTGCTGACACTGCCCAGCAAGAAGAATTAAAACGCATTGCCTGGTTCCCACCAGTCATGGGATGGAAACTTAGCCACCACCTGCTTAGCCTATTTGATACCACCGGCAGAATCATGGTTCTGTTAGGTTCCTTAATGGAGGATGGAAGATCAGCTCCCTACTCTGTTTTGTGAGATTACTACTTGAACCCGGAAAATGGATCATTTTGATTAAACTGTGGGAAGAGAGTCCTGTCTCTTTGGCCATGCACCCAGAAACTTGTATCATGCCTGACTGTGAGGGAAGGAAGGAAGCGCAGGTGTAGCACAGACTCAACTAATTCTTACTGAATTCTTAGTAGATTTCTTAGTAGAGCTTTTTATAATTTGCCATATTCCCTCTAGGATAATTTCAAAAAGATTTTGAATGGTTGTTTTTTTAAAATAATCTTTTACACCAGCTATATACTTATGATGATTTGTTGAGACAGGTCTGAAAAAAAAACTCCTCATGTGCTCTTTCTTCTCTAAAGTCCTCTATGTTATTCATTCAAAAAATACAGTTAAAGATGATCATACTGCATCCCTCTTTTTTTTAGATTTTCACAAGGGACTTTAATTTGTTCTTCTGCTCCCTAAGAAATCTCCTTTCACCTGTCTCCACAATGGGCTCCCCTTTTTCTCTTTTCTCTTTTAATTTACATCCAGAGATTGGAAAATTAGCATATAGAGGGCAATAGTGATTTCAGAGTAGGATCAGTGATTCCTCCCCTATATATAACTTACCCAGTCTTATCTCAGCAAAGTGTCTTCCTTAATGCCCCTTACCCATTTAGCCCATCCCCCCAACCCACAACCCCTCCACCAACCTCAGTTTGTTCTCTATATTTAAGAATCTCTTATGTTTTGAGAGCCTGGGTGGCTCAGTCGGTTAAGCGTCCGACTGTCAGGAGTCATGATCTCTGATCTGTGAGTTCCTTACCACGTCGAATCTCTGTGCTGACAATGGAGACTGGAGCCTGCTTTGAATTCTCTGTGCCCCTCTCTCTGTCCCTGCCCCATTCTTTTTCTCTCTCTCTCTCTCAAGTAAATAAACATTTTTAAAAAAGTCTCTTATGTTTTTGTCCCTCTCTCTGCTTTTATATTATTTTTTTGCTTCTTTTCCCTTAGGATCATAATCTATTTTGTATCAAATTCCACACATATGAGTGAGATCATATGATATTTGTCTTCTCTAATTTCGTTTAGCATAATACTTCCTAGTTCCCACCCACACTGTTGCAGATGGCAAGGTTTTCATTCTTTTTTGAGTGCCAGTAATATTCCATTGTGTGTATATATGTATGTGTGTGTGTGTATGTATATATATATATGTGTGTGTATTATTATTATTGATGATGATTATTGATGTGTGTATATATATATATATACATATCCATTCATCTGTCAATGGACATTTGGCTCTTTCCATACTTTGGCTGTTGTCGATAGCGATGCTATAAACATTGGGGTGCATGTGCCCTTTTAAAAAAGCACACCTGTATCCCTTTGCATCCCTCTTTTTTAGTGCAATCGTAACTCCTGTGATGACATATGGTCAGCTGGAGGGTCTGATAAACAAATGGAGCCTTGATTTAGAGGATCAAGAGAGGTACTTTCTTCACCAGGCCACTCAGGTCAATGCTTGGGACCGTACACTGATTGAGAATGGTGAGAAGGTAAGAAGATAGTCTCACTATTCTACGTGTATTGTACAAACATTTTCAGATGAACACAAGAGTATAGACCTGTGTTTTGTGGTAATTTTCTATTCCACTATTTGATGATCAACTTACAAATCTTTTCCTATGTAATGAGTGCCCTGATTTAGTAAATTGCCTATGTTTGAAGTGTGCATAAGAAAATTAATATTGCTTTAAAATTAAATATAAATTCAAATATTTGCATTATCATATCCTTATTTTCATTTATAGATTACAACTTTGCATGGAGAAGTGGAAAAAGTGAAACTGGATCAGAAAAGGTAGAACCTTAGACTCTCTAGGTTGAAAGATTAAAGATCGATTTCTTTGTCCATTTTTTCCCCCTTGCTCTAGTTTTTCAACTTTATTTTGCCACTCCCAATTCTTTTCATAAGCCCTTCCGTTGACTTGTTTTTTCAGGCTGGAACAAGAATTGGATTTTATCCTGTCACAGCAGAAGGAACTAGAAGATCTCTTGACCCCTTTAGAGGAGTTTGTGAAGGACCAGAATGGGGCTGCCTATCTGCAGCATGAAGATGCGGAGACTGGGAAGACGTAAGTAACTGAATAAAGATCAAGCAATGGGGCAAAAACTTAGCTACTGAAAAAAAAAGGGAAAAAATAGAATTGAAAGACAAGGAATAAAAATTGGTAGGAAAGGACAAGTTCTTGTAGTTGCCATTTTTCAACTTATTTGACTATTTTCTGTTTATCTTTTCACGATGCTTGAAAATGAAGTAATCATTCTGGCAGTTTTGTTTTATAGCATTGTGTACACTTATTAATCTCAAGCTTATACATGACCACAGTAAAGGTATTCTATTTGTCAAATTTTTTCTTAAACTAGAAATACCAGTTTTATGTGTGTGGTGTCATAGTATTGTGAGATATTTATGGTTTCCTATTTATATTGACTCTTGTAAACCTAATGTTCATGCAATTGCTTCAGTGATAAATCATTGGCTATTTTAAAGGCAATTTGTTAATCTGGGGGCAGGCTGCATAGCTTTCAAAAACTGAATGATTTTTGTCAGTGTCTTGGGCTAAATATATTTGTGTGTGATTCAGTTTTGTTGTTGATAACATTACCAGTGTTCCCACTGTAACTTCATCTCTCCGCAACTGAAATTTGGTAATCAGGCCAAATAATAAGTGTTGTTAGGAAAACTTGTCTGAATGTGCTACATAAACCAGACTGAGACCAAATCAGACTACCTTTATTAATGGCTTATTCATGAGTTAAGACTGAGCTTATTTTCTAAAGGTTTGCAAATTAACTTTTTGTTGTAGGCGCATTAAATATGGTAAGTATAGCTAATCTGTATGGACCTTAGTTCTGTTTCTGGCTTTGTCTTTCCACCTTTGTGAATCTTTTTTTTTTTTTTTTTTGCATTGCTTTCTATGCATTCTGCCATTTTTTGAAGCATATAGAGTTACATTTTTGGCCATGGGTTCCTAATTGTAATTTGAGGGAATAATTGAAACATTAGTTCCTTTCCAGTTGTTTTTGTGTAGTCAGATTTATAGTGTGATGGAATATTTAGTAAGATCTTCAACAATCAAGGCAACCAATTACCTTTATTTAACTACTTTGGGATGGAAAGGCAATAGTTAGCTATGAATAAATCTAATTGAATCCTTTAATCTTTATACACATTAAGATTGAAAAACTCTCTTACCACTTTAATTCATGAGCATATTATTGACTAGGTAAGTGTGTATGTATGTGTGTAAATAATTTGGGTAGAGCTCTTGAGAATTTAGCCAACTAATATTTGCTGTGAATGTGTAACAGGTTTATCTGCCTTTAATTATTGTTAATCTCATTTCTCAAAACATCTTTTATTGAATGGTGGATATATATAAGGTTTTACTTTGAGAATTTAGTATTTAAAATCATTAAAGACCTCTCAGCACTTATTGAATACTGGTAAACACCAAATAACTTCCCATGTATCTAAGGGTCTTAGGAGTTTATTATAAGAGCTAAAAAGAGTTTCTTTGCTTCAGAGCTCCCTGGAACATTGTCCAGAGAGTAAATAGGTGACTATAAAAATGGCAAGATGGATACAAGGCCTCACCTATGGAGTCTTTTTAGACTATGGTAATAATAAGGTTGTGAATGCTGCCTACATAAAAATGTGTCATTTGTCATAACTGAGACCTACTTAGAAGCGGGGGGATTGGTGCAAATCCAGCTGGCAGCATCATCTTTGTATGTCAGTAACAAGACGTAGCAGAGAAAGCATTTCTTGTTAATCTCTTTATTTTACCTGCCTTTTCAGTTACAAATTAGCAGAAAATATAGATGCTCAGTTGAAGCGAATGGCCCAAGATCTCAAGGACATTATCGAAAACCTGAATACATTCGGAAGTCCTGCAGACGTCACTGACCCGGTGCGTTAACTGCTTTATCTATTTAGACAAGCAAGATTTAGTATGAAATTAGCATTCTGTGGGTTCCTCTAGCTAGTCACCTTGTCCTGTCCTCTTGTGTTCCTTACCTGCCTTTGTTGATCTGAACTTTGGGGTGTAGTTAGTGGGGCAGGAAATATTTATGAGCAGAAAAGGTTATGACTTTTTTGTGTGATTATTCCTAGGAGGGTAAAAAAAAAATGACTTTCCTCCCTAAATTTTCAGGGTTTTCTCCCTGCTCTTCACACAGCTAAATATGTCCCTGTACTTACTTTTTCTGTCAACTTACTCATTGGCTAACTCATTCTTCCTTTTTCTATGTGTTCATATAATTGTGAGTTTATATGTTTGAGTTTATTAGGTATATCCAGGCCATCCTTAATTTGTAACTGGGATCTATCTCAAAAGTTTGATAAGTCAGCCATTTGAGTCTTAAAATATATTTTTCCATAGAACTTTTGTTTGATGTGGTCATTACGTTTCTGTCTGCCTCATAGAATCCTACTTCACTTATAATGTAAGTGTATTTTAGCATGGGAAAATAAAGCTGAGCCTCCAATTAGAGAATTGAGATGTTTTGAATTAATTTGGCCATGAGAAAGGATTGTTTCCTTTATCTGTGCTCCAATTAAAGAGCTTATTTCCTCTACCTTTCCCTATTGTCATAGCAGCTAAATGAAGTTCTTTTTCCCCCTCCCACTCCATGGCAGTAATGGTAAGAGGAATCTTCCATTGTGGGAACTCCTATTGTACTTTCTATCTGTTGATTATAATTCGGAGTGGGACCAGGATCTGGGCAGGTGAGGACAAAGGATATACAGTATATTGTGATTATTCTTTAGTAAGCTCTTTGTCCAATCATACAGATAGTTCTTTATCTATGTACACATTACTAACTTTTTTAATTATAAAGAGACAGCATGGCATAGTTTAGGAAAGCATTAGAATTTTATTTAAGTCACTTAATCTCTGGATCTTAGCTCCTTCTTTTGCAAAATGTCAAGGGTGGACCAAATGATCTTGAAGTACCCTCTAACTATAAAAATTATGCCATTCTCTACTTTGGGTGAATCTAAAATTGAACAAAGACAAATACAAATTAGACTGGGATTATCCATGCTACCGCCTCCTTGTGTTCACATAGATGATCGCAAGTTGACAGAAAATAAGTTTTCTTTTTATGACCTATTAGGTCACCATTATGATTATAAAATCCAAAATTATTTTATAAAAGAATTTTTATGCATAGACAAATACATGCAGATTTACTCATGAGGCCGACCTGCTGTCTAGTCTCTCTGTGTTAAATTAAAATACGAGAAGTTTCTGAACAGAGCAAGTAAAAGGGGCCTGTAATCTTATCCTTATCCTTTTTGTTTACTTAGCCTTGTTTTACTTTATTTTGGTAGCAGGGAGTAAATGGTGTGAGTCTTTTGTTTTTGTTTTTCCTGGCAAGGGTGATTGAGATATTTAAGATGAGTGAATTAAAGATAATTGCTGCTTGATAGTAGGACAAAAGAAGCAAGAGATCAGCAACAATTCATCTCTTTTCTCAGATAGCATAGATCATTGGACAAGAAGCAGAGAAAACATTTGCTGAACAATAACATTCTTGCAGATAATTTATTATAACTAGATCAACAGAGCTCCTTTACCGTGGGCCATACACCAGGGTAGAAAGATAGCAACGATATTTAACAATATTCACAATGATGGGATTTACCTTTGTTTTTACTTTTTGGGGGGTTGGGAATGGGAGGGAAAACCTAATACCTGAAATTTTTATTAAGTAAATCCATATTTCGGCAAATGGTATTCAGTCACATTGTCTTACAAAAACTCATTTTCCCGGGTGGCTCAGTAGGTTGAGTAGCCGACTTCCGCTCAGGTCATGATCTTGCCACTTGTGAGTTCAAGCCCCACCTTAGGCTCCCTGCTGTTGGCACAGAGCCCGCTTCAGATCCTTCATACCCCTCTCACTCACCCTCCCCCACATGCACTCTCTCAAAAATAAACAAACATTAAAAAAAATCTCATTGTGGTGCCTGGGTGGTTCAGTTGGTCAGCTCAGGTCATGATCTCTTGGTTTGTGAGTTCAAGCCCCACGTCAGGTTTGTGCTGACAGCTCAGAGCCTGGAGCCTGCTTCTGATTCTGTGTCTCCTCCTCTCTCTGCCCCTGCCATGCTTATGCTCTGTCTCTCTCTGTCTCTCAATAATAAATAAATGTTAAAAAATTTAAAAAATTCATTGTTCCTAGTACAAGTTGTATTTCTATTTGTTATGTTAAAACACACTAAATTTGCTACTTTCACTACATACTGTTCTTTTAGGTGTAACATTTTCATTTCTTCCTATTATATCCTGGACTTTACTACAATAGTCATAAAAATATTTTTAAAAATTTAAATGTCTAGTGTGTCTCATTACAAACTTAATACATATACTTATTCAATGTGTTAGGGTTGGAAAATGTGGAAATCTATAAAGAAAATTAAATCACCTATATTACCAGTACCCTGTGAATACATTGGTATGTTTTTTCCAAGTCTTTTTGCTGTGCTGGTAAAAATTCTCCTTTTGTTTTGAACAGCATTGGAAGCAAACATATATAGAGTTTTGTATTTAATATTCTTTCATGGTGTTTTCTCAAAATTTTAAGCATTCTTTGAAAACTTTGGAAATCTTTGAAAATATTAATGACTCTATAATATTTCATTAGAGGTGACTTTACCATAATATATTGGATTGCTTTTTTAAATTGGTGGAGATATTGTTTCCAAATTTTTGCCATTATAAAATTGTTCTATAATGACCAGTTATGTGTAGATTTGATTATTTCCTCTAGATAGGTTCCTAGAAGTAGAATAAGATATGAATATTTTAAGATTGTTGATATATATTGTAAAAATTTACATTTTGAAAGGTTGGGTCAGGTTTTATTACTTACTATAGGCTATATAGGAATGTACCTGTTTTCTCCATACACTTGACAACTGAGTATTACCATTTATTAAAAATTGCTGACTTGCAGATCTTGCTATTTAAACAATATGATGGATCTCAAGGGCATTATGCTAAGTGACATAAGTGAGACCAAGAAAGACAAATACCGAATGATCTCACTTAAGTGTAGAATTGAAAAACACCGGCACCAAAAAAAATGAGCTCATAGATACAGAGAACAGATTGGTGGTTGCCAGAGGCAAGGAGTAGGCAGTGGGTGAAATGGGTGAAGGTGGTCAAAAGGTACAAATTTCCAGGTATAAAATAAGTTATGGGGATGTAATGTATACAGCATGGTAACTATAGTTAATAATGCTGTGTTGCGTATTTGAAAATTGCTAAGTAATTATATCTTGAATGTTAATATCACAAGAAAAAATGTGTTTAACCACATATGGTGATGGGTGTTAGCAAGAGTTATTGTGGTGATCATTTCACAATATATATAAATATCAAATCATTATATTATGCACCTGAAAGTAATAAAATGTTATTTGTCAATTGTACCTCAATAAAAAGCTACTTATTTGTTTGAAAAAAGTAACATTTTAAGTTTTATATGAATTTCTTGTCTTGTGAAATGTCTGTTAATGTTTTTTACTTATTTTTATGTCGTAGTTAGTCTTATTGAATTATAGGCATCTTTCTTGACAGTTACAAAATTGTTAGATTGAAGTAATATGAAGATGTAATGAACATTACAAATATGAAAGAGCAAAAAGTCATTAATATTTTATATATCTTCAGTCCATTTCTTACCAAAAGAAATGAAAAGTTACTTCGTAATTTCAATTTTTTATGTTTGTTTTACTTACCGTATCTGAATAATCATAATCTAAAGCTTCTGTTTGTGTTTTTAGCTCCAGCAGATCTGCAAAATTCTGAATGCTCATATGGACTCTCTACAGTGGATTAATGAGAATTCAGGTGGGAGTTTATTTGTACATGAAGGTATCCATTATTACAAGTAGAAAACGTGATGCAAGTCAGCTTTTGTGCACCATGACCACACTCAAATGAGAGTTTGGTTATAGGGGTATTGCTTAACTGACGGAATGTATACATTAACTCTCAAGAAGTCTAATTGCTTGTTTTTATAAAATGGAACACTAAAGAATAAGTGTGTGAAGAATAAACTAGAAACTCATGAAATTAGGGGGTGTATAGGAATGAGGTGGAGGAGCTAGGGAAGAAGCAGGACTTCTCCAAGTATACCTTTTGACATAGTTTTGGTTTTTGGCCTATCTAAAAGTTTAAATACTCAAAAATAAGAAGCCAAAAAATGGGAAGAAAGACAAGTGCTAAAATCGAATACATACAAATTGAAACCAAACAAACCCGTGTAACTAATTTATAACATAATCCAGCTCAGATTTTTGAACGTGTGTTCTTGACAGTACATTCTTACTAGGATGTAATCTTAAGGATAAAAAGATCTGCAGAGAAATCTTAAACTTTCTTAAGAGGCTATTGTTAGTTTCACAATTATAATGCGCTGTATTGTGTTTATATATATTCTAATATAATAATATTGTCATCCTGTATATTGTAGGATAAAGAAAAGGCATGAGGATAGTAATGATAATGGAAACCAAGATTTTCATTGAAAGATAAAAGAGAAGATATTTTTCTCTTCCTTTTATATTTGTATTGTAATTTTTTAAAGTTTATTTTGAGAGAGACACATGTGTGCATGTGGGTGGGGGAGGGGCAGAGAGAGAGGGAGAGAATCCCAAGCAGGCTCTGTGCTAAGAGCACAGAGCTCAGCATGAGGCTCAATCCCACAAACCATGAGATCATGACCTGAGCCAAAATCGAAAGTCTGGATGCTTAACCGACTGAGCCACCCAGGCACCCCTGTATTGTAAATTTGAATTGCAAATATTAGTATGAATTCCTGTTCCCTTTTTCTGTATATAGAAAAGGCAGGGATGCCTGGGTGGCTCAGTTGGTTAAGCGTCTGACTTGATTTCGGCTCAGGTCATGATCTCATAGTTTGTGAGATTGAGCCCCACATTGGGTCTGTGCTGACAGTGTGAAGCCTGCCTCTCTCTCTCTCTCTCTCTCTCTCTCTCTCTCTCTC